GGCTACCTCGCTTACACCCACGTTCATGGGCCAGAGACATCCTATGTGGAGACCGAGTCAAGGATGAAGACCGAGGAAAGATTATCACCATCATGTGAACGATTTGGCATTCTCGAAATCGGATCAAGCATGGGGAAGAATGAAGGGATCCAAAAGCCACCATCAGGGCGACTAGAGAGGCTCTTGCACTGCTAGAACTGCCTAGATCAGTTCCCATCTTGCTACTAGGGCATGGCTGGCGACCACCAGAGCCAGGGATGGTGAAGATCACGACGGATGGTGCACTTAACGTCGCGGAAGGAAGAGGAGGGGCGGGTGGGTATAGCCCGTTCCGCGTCCGCGCTGTTGGGATCATGGTGCAAGCCGTTTGGTGAGATCTCGGATCCTTTTTTAATGGAAGCTATATCAATGCGGGAAGGAGTTCTTTTTGCAAAGCTTCGAGGCCTCTCGCATGTGATAATGGAGACAGATTGCCAGGAGTTGGTACAACTCTGGAACACTCGCCACAATTCGCGTTCGATTGTGGCTCCTATTTTAGATGAAATAGGAGAGCTAGCTTTTGATTTTTCTTTTTTTGAGATCCAGCATGTAACCAGGTCAGCAAACTTGCCGGCGCATCTCTGTGCAAAACGTGCATGCACTTTGAATGTGACCGACTGCTGGCTTGACGAGACTCCTAGTTTCTTGGTAAGCAGCCTTCTAGCTGATTGCCGGAACAACTCTTTTGTTCAATAAAGCTCTCTGATTTGCCCGAAAAAAAAACGCACGACAGCCTCCAGGAGTTAACGAGTTGGAGTTGCTCAGATGCGTTCGCCGCCTGGCTCCGGACTATTCTGCTGCCCGCGTGATGTGCCGAGCTGCCGACGCCTGCCGCCCTGCGCTGCACCTACATGGCGAGTCTGTATTCTAAAAGTGTACAGGTGGACCTCTGCATGTTGAGTATTAATAAATAAACATGTGCAACTGTGTGGGGACGTGCATATGCTCTGTGTTTTTGAATTTTTATACAGAGTTATGTATTCCACAGAGCATCCCAAAGGATCTTGTTGATTTTTTGCAGCTGGATTCGTTCAGATCGTTTCAGCTTTTGTTGAAGTGAATTTCAACTTTGAGCATTATTCCAAAACAAATGTTCATGTCTATCAAGTCAAATATTGCTTATTTATGAAAAAGTACGAGTGTAGTTAATACAAATGTTTATGCTTATCTAAAAAAAATCACGAATCCAACAACAAATTGAAATCAATGAGGAGAAAAAACCAAAGAGATAAAAAATGAAACAAAAAAAAGGAAAAACAAAAGAGACAAAATAAATAGAAATAACAGAAAAATATAAAGAAGCAGCAAAAACATGTAAGTGTGAAAAGACAAATAGAAAAAAAAAACAGAAATCCTCCAGTCAGTTGCGCTGGGCTCATAACGTTCGTGGTGCGCGGAGACCATAGCGGAAGGCCGAGCCACAATTAACCCAGCCCATATTTGTTCTAAGAAAAACTTAACCCAGCCCATCCCTTCGTTGACCCCTCGCCGTCGGCAGGCTTCCAGTCTCCGCCACCGCTCATCGCAGCTCGCCCCTCCACCGCCACGCCACCTACCCTTCCGTCGCCCTCGTAGGCTTCACTGCACGCCCCTGCCCGGCTGCCCCTCCCATCCCACCCCGCGCTCAGGACCTAGCACCATCCGATCTCCCACCTCCCATAGGCGCGCCGCCTCCGGGACACCGGGCGGTAGGGCGCGAGGCGCGCGGCAGGAGGAGGAGCATGAGGAGGCGGCCGGGGATCGCCGGCTTGCAGAACGCGGCGGCGACTCGCGTACGTGCAAATTCTTCTACTGGTTAGCCTAGATGGCGCGTGGTTTTCCATCCTTTGGATCCTGAGATGCGGATGTGCTTGGGAACTTCCAGGACAAATTCCGTCAGGTCGGGGAGAATGTGGCCAAGGTCAGGACGGATGTCATGCAGGAGCAGCTCGCGACCTTCAGGTCGCAGCTCGAAGAATTCGCTCGCAAGCATAAGGTAATTCATTGCTTTGCGGTTGTTGAGGGGAATTGAAGTGGAGGGGACGAATTGCTCACGGTAGTTCCACTGAATTGACATGATACTTACTATTTTTCTGATCTGCCTATCGATCTTGCTATCTTCCGCCCTTGTTTGTACTCCCTCCTTCCCAAATTACTTGTCTTAGATTAGTCTAGATCCTGTGATTATCTATTACTTGACTTAGATTATGGTAGTTCCACAAATCTAAGACAAGTAATTTGGGACGGATGTAATATCTGGTATCTGCTGGATTCTAATAATCACAAATGGAATGACTATTTTTGGCAAAACTGAAAACAGTCTACTTACTGCTTCTATATGAATTAAAATTGCCAATTAAACTTCGAAGGGGCGCCTAATTAGCTTTTAAGTGCATGACCTGCATGTACCCAGAACTGAGCAAACATAATATGCTGTTGCGATTTTTTGTGTCGTGTGTGGAATTACTCATAACTCCGCCTATGTTGTCTCAACATAGCCGGTCCCAAGCCCGGGTAAAGGAGGAGGGTTGTGATAGGTTTGGCGAGCCAACGCGAAAACTCAGCCGCTCTTATGAAGATGAAACCCAAAAGATTTTCGTTGGGGCGTAATCCTCTCAGCGACACGCTACATCGGAACCTGGGTGTGGTGTCAAATGGGCAAGGGCCGGGCCGTCACCCCCCGGTGGCGCGCCGTTTATAGCCTACCCCGACTTGTTTGGGACCAAAGGCTTTGTTGTTGTTGTTGTTGTTGTTGTTGTTGTTGTGCGGAATTACTCATATATACTCCAGTCTGACTAATATGCTATACTATTGGGAAAGATGTCAAGAGGGGGGAAAATCAGCCATTTTGATATTCTCCATCATGGCGTACCTTATCAAATTTGCATCCAGCAGATTGTACTGTACATATAGAAAGCTATATGTTACCATTATGGTTTATGGCAAAAATAAATAAATTATGCAATGTCAGCTATTTCATTTGTTGATTTCTACTCCCTCTGTAAAATAATATAAGATCCTTTAGATCACTACACTAAAGTAGTGATCTAAACGATCTTATATTATTTTACAGAGGGAGTACTATTTTAGTGACAATTGATCAATAATCAGTTAATCACCTCCGTATCAAACCAAGTGAAACCTTATATTATGCTAAAACACCTGTCTGGATCCAGAGAACACCAAGTAGAACTTTATTTTGTATCATCTAGTATCAGTTAGGTGTAATTGATTGCTATTTTTTGTGATAGCTGATAGTTCTAGATTTCACTGTTTTCATGGCATGATTCCAGTGTGGTGGTATTACATTTTTATCTGTATGTGCTACAAGAGACGAGAATAAATTTCTAATGGCAAAGCATATTTCAGTTACCTCTGCTAATGCTATGTATACGATTGTGCTAGTGCAGAGTGACATCCGTAAAAATTCGGTATTTAGACAACAGTTTCATGAGATGTGTGCAAAAGTTGGAGTAGATCCATTGGCATCCAATAAGGAGTTTGGGCAGAGCTCCTAGGAATCGGTGACTTCTACTATGAATTGGGTTGGTATACTTAAGCTTCCGTATTCTTTGGATCTTGTAAGTTTCTCTTATACCTTTTTATGCTCAGCTTAACATCCATCTCTATCATTGCAGGTGTTCAGATCGTGGACATATGCATAGCAACAAGATCGCATAATGGTGGTCTTATTGACTTGCTAGAACTCCGCAAACTTCTCTGCCAGAAAAGAAAAACTGATCTTGGTTCATTATCATCAGATGACTGTTTACGTGCTATAAGTAAGCTGAAGGTCAGTCTTATAAGCTTATATTGTCGAGTAATATGTTTGGGAAATTGATGCTTCACATCATTTTAGAGTTTGCATTATAATTAATGGATAATCCTTGCTCAGTACAGTGTTATTTGATGTACTTTTATAGCTTTCTGGCTCTTGTAATCCTTCATTTGTGAATTTGCAGGTCCTTGGTAGTGGTTTTGAAGTAATTTCTGTTGGGAAGAAAAAGCTTGTGCGATCGGTTCCTACTGAGTTAAATAAAGATCATAATGGGATACTTGAACTAGCTCAGGTTTGTGTTTTTTGACACATTGTTACAATACAAGCATATCAATTGGCATATGTTGAAAGTCAAAATCCCCATACAGTACATTGGACAACTCTTTTGCCAGTTAGTTACTCCCTCTATATCAAAATATAAGATGTTTTTTTGACACTGTCTTAGTGTGAAAAGGCGTCTTATATTTTGATACGGAGGGAGTACTGGACAAGCAAGACATAGGTTGATAGAACCTATCAAACTGAGAACATGCATAAACTGGCACTGTTCAAGAAGGCGCTATTAGGCGCTCGCCTAGGCGCGCTTAAGCGCTGGGCGTTGGCATAGCGCCTCGCTTTGGCCCTAGGCGCTCAAAAAAGCGGCCGGCGAGGTCCTCCGGCGAGAAATCAGCCTCTCCGGCGAGGAATCAGCTTTCTGAGGTGAGAAATCAGTCTCCCCGGCGAGGATTCGACCTCCCCTGCGAGGATTCATCCTCGCCGACGAGGGATTCAACTGCCCCGACGACAAATCGAGCTTCTCCGGCGAGGGATTGAGCTTCTCCGGCGAGGGATCGAGCTTCTCCGACAAGGGACAGAGGAAGAGGGAGGGAGGCAGCCTCGTGCAACGAGACAGAAAGGACGAGGGGGGGAGGCGGCGTGAGGAGGAAACCTAAATTTCCTATCGACTGCAGCAGACGAGAGCTTTTAATAGGAGGATATGAAGATGGGCCTATGGTTTAGTGGGCTAGCCCAGCCCATCTAGCTTATTTCTTCACGTTACAGTACTAACGCCTAATTGCGCCTAATTTCGCCTAATCACGCCTAAGCTAGAAAAGCGCAAGTAGGTGCCCAAACGCATAATTAGCGCCTAGCGCTTTTTTGAACTTTGTAAACTGGTGTAACCTATACCATTATACCACATTACTCTAGTTGTAACATCACTCACATGCAGGCTAAGGGCTATGTCACCGTAGAACAAGTTGAGAAGGAATTCTCATGGTCAACTGGCCGTGTAATCGATGCCCTTGAAACTTTGCTCAAGGTAAACACCGCCTCTGGATTTTCTCTTTATGATAGCAATCTACATGGTTCATTCCTGCGCCAAAAGGAAAGAAAATCAGCTCTGTTTTCTACTCCCTCCTCCGAAAAAACTTGTCCCTCAAATGGTTGTATTTAGCATCAAGTTAGTGCTAGATACATTCATTTGAGGGACAAGCTTGGGACAAGCTTTTTCGGACAGAGGGAGTAGAATGCAAGTTATGTTGGAACTCTGACATATTCACTCTGGACAGAGACCTACACTGCGATTTTCTGGAGCTATGTGCATGACCATGAACACTTTTCATGCCCAGATTAGAATTAGCCAGTAAAATTCTTTGCCGCGTGTATAACATCGGCTATTTCTAACCCATGAAACTCTGTCGCCCGACCAGGAGGGACTTGCTATGATAGACGACGGGCACAGGGACGGCAAGCGTAGATACTGGTTCCCGTGCGTCACCCTCAGTTCCGATGCCTCCGGTTCCGAAGCAAAGTCATAATTTACCTGTGCTGTTGTACTGTTACGCTTGTGTTCATGATAGCTGGAACCACCTGTACCACTGGAGCAGTTACATTTTTTGTCTCACTAGTACGTCCTGTGTAAGAAGGAAAAACATTACCGTAGTACTCCCTCCGTAAAGAAATATATTTCTTTACAGAGGAAGTACCTGACAAAGTAAATTGTGTGCGATTATTACTTCAGAACTTTGTTGTTTTTTCAGTAAAAAAATGTGGACGCCGGTCGAGTTTTACTCGTTTTGTAGAAATCCATTGGCTTCAATTTTAAGCAGTGCTACTATACACACCATCATTTCAGTACAACTCTCGTCCGACACAAAATTTACAGCTATCCATTACATATGTTCTGCAGGCTGCAGCCATCGATTGGAGTATCGCATGCACAGTAATTCCGAATTTTAAGTGTGAAGACATGGAGTTTATATGATTTTTTTTAGTGTGTGGACTTTAGTACTCTCTCCAACTCATATTTATTGACACTGGTTTAGTACAAAGTTAGGACCTATTCTGAACCTCACCAATTCTCAGCTTCAAAAACTCCGAACTGGAAATCGGGCCTAACGCGTAAATTCTCGAAGCTAACCCAGGTCGTAGTGCAATTTGGCGAAGCCAGGAAAGCCGAGCTCCATGTTTAGAAGAATCTTTTTTCTTTTTGAGGATCAATGTTGTCGCTTTATTTAATCATAAGCATTCGGAATCTCGTCCGAAATAACGTCTAGCACAAAGTCTGGGGTAACCCCTAACCAAACCTTACATAGTTCATCTCTAACACCGACTCTAGCAAATCTATGAGCGACAACATTTGCAGAACGACGAATCCACGACACTCTAAACTCCGAAAAAGAAGCAAGCATTGCTTTAAGTTCTTGTATCCACGGCCCAGCGCTCGACAGCTCCTTGTGTGGATTGTTGAGCATCCGCACCACACCCTGAGAGTCCAGCTCTACGTGCACCTTCTCGGCATTCATCTCCTGCGCCACTTGGAGAGCTCGCCTGCATGCGATAATCTCCATGGACTGAGGGTCAGCCATGCCACGGACAAAGTGACACAGCCCAGCTCTAAACGCACCATCATGATCCCTGAGAACAGTCCCGGCTCCTCCCTTGTCGCCACCTTTTGACACGGCTCCATCAGAGTTTACTTTGATCCAGCCAGTGTCCGGGGGTGCCATTTTTTGCTTGATAGTTTGCACCGCCTGACGAACACATCCTGCATGGGCTTCCTTCCATTCATTCATGTGAGCGATAACAGTGCCCATGATCTCAAGTGGAGAGGCTATCCTCTTACCGTCCCTTGCCTCATTGCACGCCAACCAGAGCCCATACGATGCTTGGATCATTGCCGCCCTCTCATCATCCGCTGCTGCAGCAAACCACCCTAGAAGCCAGCTAGCTAGCGCACTCTGGGAGTCGATCGCACTTGGCAGGGTTGCCGCCAAAACTCCCTTTTTCGAGTGAAGAAGCTGCCAGAACAGTACCGAGTGTGGGCAGGTCCAAAAAGGTGCAGCACCGTCTCCTCCCGCCCACACGCCACGCAGAAGACTCCGGGTTTGATTCGTCGGCGATGAAGTTCGGCTCCCACTGCTAAACCATTACGTATCAGTCTCCACATATGGATCTTTGCCTTGCCCGGTGCACTAGTTTCCCACAGCGCCATATAACCTCTATGCTTTGCCACCGAGCTCGAGGCCTCCGGCTGTCCGGTCCTCGCTCTATTCAACGACATCCTCAGATGATACGCAGACCTTACCGTGAAATCACCGTTCTTTGTAAAGTTCCATGCTGGGTAATCTTCACATCCCGGGCCGCCAATAGCAATTTGCTTTATGCCATCCATATCATCATTAGAGAACATAGCATGCAACTTGTCCAGATCCCAACTTCTTCCATCCGGCATGAGCAAGTGAGCCACTTTGGTCACTCCTGCCATAAAAACCTGTCCCAGCGGACGCATACTCCCCATTCGCGGTATCCAGTTGGTGTGATGAATATTAATGCTGCTCCCATCACCAATCCTCCATATAACTCTCTCACGCAGTAGATCCCGTCCGTGAAGAATACTACGGAAGGTATACGACGCAGAAGCGGGGGCTGTTGCTGTTAGGATCGAATCCTCGCTGAAATAACGCGCCTTAAGCACTCTTGCACACAGTGAGGTTGGCACCTGAAGAACTCTCCAAGCTTGCTTCGCAAATAAAGCTTGGTTGAAAGCCTCGGGGTCTCTGAAACCCATGCCTCCATCCCGTTTTGCTGCATACATTTTCTGCCAAGATATCCAGTGTACCTTTCGCTCACCGTTCGTTGTTGCCCACCAGAATTTTGAAGAAATCGTAGTCAGGTTCCGGCACATCTTCTTTGGTAGCTGAAACAACTCATGGTGTGATTCGGTACAACCTGTAGTCCAGATTTTATCAACACTTCCCTTGCCGCTTTCGACAGCCCTTGGTCCTTCCAACCACCAACTTTGCCTTTCGAGCTCTCTACCACGTATTTAAAGGCGCCCTCCTTGGACTTCCCAACCTGGTAGTCCTAAGTATCTCTCACTGAGAGCCTCAGTTTGAAACCTATTTACGATCCTATTTACGATCAATATGCCATCGCCCAGGAAAATGATTCGACCTCCACGTATAGGCGCACGAACCGGCTCTGACCGAATCGTTTCCCCTCTCATCTATCCCTTGTTTGCTAACCCTCTCCTCGTTCTCTCTGTTAAACCCTACCGCCGCTGTCGGAGTAATGGGCCACGGGTAGCCTCACCCGGGACCCTGAACTTATCAAAACTTCGGGCCGGCTTCGCCCCGCGATACCCCAAGCTGAAGCTCCGCCCTCCGGAGGCCGGCTGGCTCAACGGCCGGCCACCAGAGGACGACCAACTACCAGCAGACGACACCAAGAGCGGCCGGCTCTAGTCAACCGCCCTCCAGAGAGGACGACGTCGTGCAGGCGGCCACTAGGCGTCCTCAAAGTCTGCGCCCCCATCAAGAGGACAAGACTAGGCGTGGCTACAGTGAAGTCCCTCGCCCCCGAATCCTGGGCTTGGCATGGCCACAGTGCCCCGTACAGGCGGAGATCTCCGCACGGCGCGACACTGTTGCCACTCCCCCCTGACGTCACTCCAGATAGGCGGAGCCCTATTCCCCATGATGACCTGTCAGTACGGCCTGCGGGCTGCGGGCCCTACCGGGCAGCGATAGCCTGGAAGACGGCGGATGCCGAACCAGTCGGATTTGGGGGAGGCCGGCCTCCAGCAGGCGGGCGTACCCTCCCTCGAAGTAAGCACGCCATTAACCTGAAGAGACAAGGTATGGCTACAGTGACCTCCCACCAGGCGGCGGGACTGTAGCCACACTGAGCTGACCAAGCCCGCGTCATTAGCGGCACGGCTACAGTAAGCAACCACCAACCAGACCCGCCAGCAGCGGGAGCGGCCTGTCGGCTCCGTACCGGACCGGTCGGTGGGGGCCCACCAGGCGGCGGGCCCCAGCAGCCGACGGAGAAGCCGGAGGCCAGAGACACTGACAGCCGGGTCCAGCACCCGGCCAGATTACCATTGTACCCTGATAACCCACAAGTGTAGGGGATCGCAACAACTTTTGAGGGTGAAGTACAACCCAAATTTATTGATTCGGCACAAGGGGAGCCAAAGAATATTCTTGAGTATTAGCAGTTGAGTTGTCAATTCAACCACACCTGGATAACTTAGTAACTCCAGCAAAGTATTTAGTAGCAAAAGTGGTATGATAGTAATGGTAACAGTAGCAATAGTAAAGGTAAATGTTTTTGGGTTTTTGTAGTAGTTGTAACAGTAGCAACGGAAAAGTAAATAAGCGAAGAACAATATGTGAAAAGCTCGTAGGCAATGGATCAGTGATGGATAATTATGCCGGATGCGATTCCTCATGCAATAGTTATAACATAGGGTGATATAGAATAGCTCCAGTTCATCAATGTAATGTAGGCATGTATTCCGTAAATAGTCATACGTGCTTATGGAAAAGAACTTGCATGACATCTTTTGTCCTACCCTCCCTTGGCAGCGGGGTCCTAGTGGAAACTAAGGGATATTAATGCCTCCTTTTAACAGAGAATCGGACCAAAGCATTAACACATAGTGAATACATGAACTCCTCAAACTACGGCCATCACCCAGAAGTATCCCAATTATTGTCACTTCGGGGTTGTCGGATCATAACACATAATATGTGACTATAGACTTGCAAGATAGGATCAAGAACACACATATATTCATGAAAACATAATAGGTTCAGATCTGAAATCATGAAACTCGGGCCCTAGTGACAAGCATTAAGCATAGCAAAGTCATAGAAACATCAATCTCAGAACATAGTGGATACTAGGGATCAAACCCTAACAAAACTAACTTGATTACATGGTAAATCTCATCCAACCCATCATCGTCCAGCAAGCCTACGATGGAATTACTCACGCACGACGGTGAGCATCATGAAATTGGTGATGAAGGATGGTTGATGATGACGACGACGATGAATCCCCCTCTCGGGAGCCCCGAACGGACTCCAGATCAGCCCTCCCGAGAGAGATTAGGGCTTGGCAGCGGCTTCGTGTCGTGAAATGCGATGAAACTTTCTCCTTGATTTTTTTCTCCCCGAGACGGTATATATGGAGTTGGAGTTGAGGTCGGAGGAGGTCCGGGGGGGGGGGCACGAGATAGGAGGGCGCGCCCTGGGGGGCGCCCCCTGTCTCGTGGACAATCCGTGGGCCCCCTGGCCTTGATTCTTTCGCCAAAAATTCTTATTAATTCTGAAAAGTGTCTCCGTGGATTTCCAGGACATTCTGAGAACTTTTCTTTTCTACACATAAAACAACATCATGGCAGTTCTGCTTAAAACAACGTCAGTCCGGGTTAGTTTCATTCAAATCATGCAAGTTGGAGTCCAAAACAAGGGCAAAAGTGTTTGGAAAAGTAGATACGTTGGAGACGTATCAACTCCCCCAAGCT